AAGAATAAATCACTAGCTACATGAGTCAGAAGTCACTTTGAATGGTCTTTAAATTAAGATGGACAAGCATAAGAATGACATAAAGTAATGGTAAAAAGAGAACTCTGAATTTAGTTTCTAGAGCTAGTTAAATCCTAAGGATCACAAGTTAGAAAAAGAAGAATAGGTCAGAAGTTGGTCCATTTCTTATTTTTTTTTTCAAAGAATATCTTTACATTTTGTACCAGAAATGCAACCATGCAGTTTTTCATAGTTCTTTGGATTTGTTCTCTCTGCAAGACACTTACGAATTCTTTTTGTTCAGGAAAATCATGCAGCTCACTATTATAAAATATTTTTATTTATATTAGGGAGGAAAATTTTATACAACATTCACATCTTATAAGATGGTATATATGGATACCCAGGGAGAGAAAACACACAAAAAGACAATCTGTATGCACAGAGTATTTTAATAAATGTAGGAGAGATTTATTGGTAAATTTAAATAAACGAGTAAGTTTCTTAAAAATATAACTAAACATATGAAAATATGTATGAAAAGGTCTGTAAGAACATACTAACTTTTTAACTAGCTGACATGCTATTTACACATGCAGACCAAAACTTTGTAACAACAAAGTATTACTATACTTCACTGTTGTAAAGCATGTCAGGGACTTAAGAAAATGAAAGCTAACTGTAAGCTAGGTTTTAATTGTGAAATTCACAGATGAAGTAATTAAAAATAAATATATATATATATTTAAAGGATACAAGGCCTTTTTCACTAATCACTAAATCCCTTAGCCATAAACCACTGGGTGCTGGGACACTCTTCCCTGGAAACCAATGCCACCACTAACAGAAATAGGCTGTCGGGGAAAGTGGACCTGTGGTCTGCCTAAGCACAGCCACTCTAATCCTAATGAGGGTCCAAATCTTCTCCTGACTGAGAAAGCACTTGCAAATATGCCTAAGTCCATTTACAGTTGGCAAAACACTTTAGCATATGCTTACCGTTAAGTAAGTGATTAGACTGAGAAAATAAAACTGGTTTTAATTCCCTGCATTATGTGCACTAAATCCTTTTTTGCATAAGAAGCTAAAGTATTATGGGTTGATGCTTAAAGTTTGGAGATTTAGAATCAAATCAGAGACAGTAGAGAGAGTCAACATAAAGTGTAAGCGCTACTGAATTCAACATGTAGCTCCATATGGTCATACAACTAGTTAGCTACTTCAAAAAGTAAATTAAACTCTTCAGTTAGTCAGAACACCTGGCTACTCAGCATGTCCAAACCATTCTCCTTCAGGAAGAGGTGTGTCAGGCAACAGCTACAGGACAAAATCTGAGCTCTGAAATTCATGTTTTCAGACAATTTGTTGGCATTCTGCTGAGCAGTTTATAATTCTATGAAAAAAAAAAAAAACGATTTATGCAAGCTGTATTGGAGACTGCGCACATCATAGACCTGTTCTGCCTACTGATGGGAATTCCTGGAGAAAGATACTGTGGATCTGAGACAGCAGTGATGAACAGGGAGTGGAACTCGAGACAACATTGCTCCTCACATGACACTTAGTGTGATTACTTATCCAAATTAGGATGTCTTTCCTTAACACATTACTAGTTTTACAACTAAGCATCTGTGCATCTGTGGGAAGATAGTACTTAATCTAAAATGTTCCACATGTAAAAACAACCACATTTGAAATGAAGAAGTACTTATTTCAGAAACTGTAAGAATCTGTTCTTCACCAGAGTGTGTAATAGTTCGTTATACATAGCACTTGCAAATATACCTGAGCAATCAACTGCAATACTAAATCCTGTCCCTGGAATATTAAAAAAAAAAAAAAAAAAGGACTTAAAAGGACTTTACAGAGAAAATCCTGTCTCCTCTATTTGCCATTGACTTTCATCTAAGCCAAGATTTCCCCCCATGTGTTTTAAGAGAATCTCTGTGATTCTGCTAATGGTAGCACAATCATAACAGTAGCACAATCACTAGCTCACAACAAATAAATAAATTAATAAACAAAGAAACAAACAGAGAATAGTCACCGAAGAAAGTTTCTCTATGAACTCTCACACCTAGGCTCTAGGCTTAAATGATAATAATAATAATAATGGTTTCTACAATGTCTTCTCCCCACACAAAGCCAGGCAATGATTTCCTAAATAAACTCCTTATTTACTGGGTATCGTACTTACTGGAGTCCTATGTAAGATCATATTGTGGAACTGCTAACTAGTTTTTCAAGATGTTTACTGATTCTGACAATAAAGAGCAACTCTTACTTTATAAGACTCTTTTTTCTAAGATAACATTTTTAGCTCAAGATATTCAGCTCACATAGAACAGCAACATCCTCCTGAACTTGTTTTAAAAGTATTTCACCTCATGACACAATAAAAGACAAAGTATTTCATTAAATCAGAAATGGTGGTCTTTAATCAAACACAATACAATGAAAAATCAAGAAATGACCTTTATTTTATATAATTCCAAACAGCTAACCTAATATCTGTATACTAAATTAGCCAGTTCCTCATTTCATCTACATATGAAATTTCACTGCTGAATTACCAAAACTTTCAAACAAGAGAAACACTCATAGTCTCTTAAGCATCCCAGTATAAATAGTAGTGCTCTACCTCCACATTTCTCTCTGTGACTTCATTTCTAGGCAGCCCTGAAGAAGCAGTTACAGTCACATGGTGCATTCAAGGTCATACTATTTTAATTTACAGAGATATCATTGATAAATTATGTGGAAACAACGATAATGGAGTCATTAACCTTGTTCTGGCATAGTAAAGGTGTTTTATAATTAAAAGCAGAACAACGTTACAAAAACATATAATGATTTTACTGCCCAGCTTTTCTCTCCTACACACTGCTGCAAAGTACTGTTGGGGAATTTATTACAGTGAGTAACGTGGATGTCTGCTGTCTGTGCTTTTTAACAAAGAGGTACAAAGATTAGACTGAATAATACTGAAGGAGGAAGGAGTGAGTCAGGTGATAAAATGCACAAAACATTGACTTTTTTTTAAACATAGGAAGTTGGATCCAGAAGGCCTCTCCCTTTGGCAAAGTAAAGGATGCTGGAGCACAAGAAAAATCATTCCAACCAGGAAGTCTCTCTCCCTCTAAGAATCTATGCAGAACTGTCATTTCCAAACATGCTGTCATCTGGCCTGTGCTTTGAGGACTCACATCAAAAGTGCAGTATGATAACGTACTGAAGTGAAACTCCTAAATACATAACCTAGGTGAAATTTAGAATTCATCCTCCACATCTCATTCAAGAAAACTGCAGTAATCCACAGACTAAAAGCCTGACTAATGTCCCTAATTTATGTATGACAGATATCTGTAGTAAGGATACACATATTAATGAATCACTACTGATTGCTTTTACTTCAAAAGAAATATTTGAAAAATACTGAAGAGGTAGGACAGAGGCTGTCTGATTATTATATGAAGGTTACCTGAAATTGGCATTAGTATAGAGAAGTATCTATAGCATATATCTACAGACCAAAAAAGTAAGCACTTGAATAACTTGGCAGACAATGTACTGTTGTCTTCTTGACACTTTCAGTGCTGCCACTTTTTAATCCAGTTACAGTAAGACCACTCACGCTCAAACTGATACAGGGAGGCAACTACAGAGAAGGTTTCCTGGAGTTCGAGTATGACATTGTACTGTGCAAGGCAGAATTCATTATACTCCTCTCTAATCTCCACTTATCACATGAACTACTGTCTCCTCGCATCTGCTGACTATCATGACTATGATCTACAACATATTGCACTGCTTACCTAAAAGGACAGACAGAAAAATCATAGATCATATCTTTAGAGATTTGACCTTATGTAGATAATTGAATATATCACAAAGTACACTCTAAAGGCCTGAAAGTCAAACACTTCTATAAATTCTGCCTTCTTTGGATAAACTAATAACTGGCATATTTTTTCAAGAATTCAGAAATACCACAAATGTCCTTTAAACAATCTACTGTCAATTAAAGCGAGGAAGCTTTAATTACAAAATTATGCCACGGCAACACTCCTGCATGTCCTCTAAGCAAAGGCTGCTAGCTATCGCTGTGGAGCACGCACGCCTCCGATGAATGGCATCAAAAACCTTCCCACTACAGAAATCCCCAAGTTTTGGAAGGCTGAGCTTAGCGAAGGGCTGAAAGGCGTACCCGCAGCTGCTGCACCATCCCTGCCTGAGGGGCACCTACACAGAGCCTCGGATCCCAGCGGAGCTCAGGGATGCTGCTGTGGCAGCAGAAGGCTGACTCGGAGCACTGGCTTGCAGTTACCCCAACTCGGCTTAGTTTGAAGAGGCAAGAAACAAACACGTAAACAGCATCTGCGGCGTCTCTTCCCCGTGGACTTTCCTGGAAACGGACGGACCTATCCAAGCACTTCGGGAATAAATAAGAAGAAAATCGGAGAGGCGGGAGAGCTCTCTCCCCGAAAGTTTCCTCCTGCCTCTCCCTCCCACTTTCCCCCAGCTCCCCGCTCCCCAGGACCGCTTCCATCGCGGTTGGGCCACCGACAGGCGGTCGCTTCCACCGGGGACGGGACGCACGGTGCCATAACCCCCCCTCGAAGCCCCCTGGGACCCCCGCCGCTCCGCAGTCAGCCCCTGCACCCCGTGGGGGGGACAAAACCCAGCTCGGGAGCCGTGCCCTCGGCCCCGGGCAGCTGCAGGAGCCGCCGGAGGAGCGGCCACCCCCGGCCCCTGGGCGGCATGGCGAAGCGCTGTCACTGACGCACATTTAATTCGCCCGGCTGCGGGCACGGCGGAGCGCCGCTCGCACCCCCTCCATCTCCCCCTCCCGGCGGTGGGGAAGGGGAAAGTCAAACTGCAGCAGCAACAAAGTTGCTCCCCTCTCCCAAAGCTTCCCCTTCCAAAAAAAATAAACTCCCCCCCAGACCCGCCCCCCCCACCCTCCCCCGAGGAGGGGGCTGGGGGAGCCGCTGCTTTACCTTGCTTGACGCACTTGAGCCGGATGGGGTCCTTGCAGTGCTTGATCACGGCCAGCACATCCCTGATGGTGAGCCCGGCCACGGGGGTCTCGTTCACCTCCAGCAGCAGCTCCTCCGGCACTAACTTGCTGCCGCCCTCATAGGCCACCTTGCCGGGCTTCACCTCCCCCAGGTACGGGAACTGCCCGTTCTCGGCGCCCCCCTTCAGCTCGAAGCCCAGCTGCCCCTCCGGGTTCCTCACGATCACGATCTCGTGGACTCGGCTCGTCCAGTGGCTTTTCTTCTTCAAGCCCTTGGACATTGCCGTGGGGATGCTCTGCCCGACTCCCTCTCCGCTTGCTCTTTCTCTCTTCCCTCCCTCCCCCGTGGGCGCCGGGCTCCTGTGGGGCAGGCTCGGGGCGGCAGGGAAGGAAGGGCAGGAGGGCGGCAAGGAGGGCGCCGCGGCCCCGGGGGGCGACGGAGCGGGGACGGGGAGCGCCTCTCTGCCCTGTCCGTCCGACTGCCGGCGCTTTAGCTGATATCCATGGCAGCCGCGGCGGCCGGGACCCTGTGTGTGGATGTACTAGTTGTAGAGAAACTGGCAGCAGGGAGGGAGGGAGAGAAGGAGGGGACGGCCGCGGGGAGGAGGAGGAGGAGGAGGAGGAGCAGGGGTGTCGGTGCCGGAGCGAGGCGGGCGCTGCCTCAGCGCTCCCTCCTCGCCTGACCCGGTAGTGAAGGCCGAGAGAGAGGCTGCCTGGCACGGCCGGCAGAAGGCGGAGAGCGGCCGGGGCCGGGGGGCGGGCGGGCAGCCGGCAGGCAGCCCGCAGAGCCCCGCAGCCGCCCCGCTCCCCCGCCGCACGGCCCCGGCCGAGAGGGGGCGCCCGGGGACAAAATGGCGGGGGCTGCGCTGAGGGGGCCGCGCCCGGCAGCAGCTGCGCCGCACCCCTCGGTTGGGTTTGGGTCTCCCGTTGTCTCCCTCAGTACCTCCCTCCAGCCCTCAAACACGGTCCCATCCCGGCCTGGCTTCAACCGCAGGGCTCCAACTTGCGTGGGGCTGTGAGGGGCAGCACAGGGGTGGGGAGATGCCCACCCCTTGAGGTTCCCCCATTCCCCTCAGCAGTGCCTGGGTTCAGGGACATCGGAGCCCTGCTTGCCTGGGCACCGTGAGGTTGCCACGGGCCGGTGGGGTTTAGGAAATGGGGTAATATCTGCCCGGGATCCTGAGGAAGAAGGATGGCGTGGAACGGGTGGACGGGTCAGAAGCTCGGCTTGTGAAAAGGAAAGGTCCAGTAACAGGCTTCAAGTAGTGGAGAGAAAAACAACAGACAGCCGTTTACTTCCAAGATCTCGATGTTAGGAATGTACACAGAGCGCTCAGCGGTTTCCCGTGCTGAGGTCTCGCACTTCAGATTATTGAGTTGTTCTATTGTACATGGGCATGTTTTTTAATGCAGGTTACTGTGGTCACAAGAGACGGAAGCTAGTATCACAGCTGAGGTGAGCAATGAATACTGAAGAGGATGTAATGAAGAGAGGGGTGGTGGTGGTGTGTTTTCTATAAAATCTACGTATTGTCACCTGACAGGTTCTGGTCACCTTCATTCAGGGTGCCATCTGCTTGGCCTTAAACCCCAAATAACCTGTGCTGCCAACGTGATATTTCCAACCCCAAGTGCTTCACTCTGCCTAAGCACTCGGAGGCAGGTGATACTGTAACCCGCTGCTCCTGTGCGCTCTCTGTTTAATTTGTTCTGTCATATGCCTAACACGTGTGCAAGCAGTGGAGTGTAGCAGTTGGCATGTAGTACTGAGACGTTTGCACTGCCGAAAAAAAAAAATAATTTCCATCTGAAGGGAAGATTGACAAAATACAGGCTGAGCAACCTCCTGACTTTGAGAAGTGTAGTTTGTGCTTCTGCAGGATACAGGAGTGATGAACGTATGAAAGCAAGGGTCTGCAGACTGGGTACAGAATGGGGGAATGTAGGAGAAATGTCATGCGTTGCAGCATGTGATTTAAAGCTGATCAGATATTTCTGAAATTTCAATTAAAGTGACTGCAATGAAAATTTTCACAAATTGTGTCTCTGTTTTCACTCTAGGTTCCTATGGAAACAGTCCTTTATGTGATCATGCTTGGCTGTGTCTCCTGTACTTCTCCAATAACTTCTGAAGCTGTTGGGTAGTTTCCACCAAATCTATCTCAAATATAATTAAGTTATTTCATGAAAATAGTCAGCCGGTAGAGCTGAGAGATCCTGTAAATGTCCCAAAGGCTGCAACACAAACTTACCTTTTATTAAACAGTGATTCATGTGGATGAGAGACTGCATAAATGTCTCAGTAATGACAAAAGTTTCAATTACAGTTCATTATGGGTCTCAGTATAAATCTGTGGGAAACCAGAATTCTTGGGCTCATGTTCTCCCAGAATAACTTGTTTAATGTCCTCCAGTCAGAGGTAGGTGCAAGTGGAAGGGGTATATGAAGAGGGAAAGAGATAAATGAGAAATTACAAACGTCTGTATTTTGCAAGTCATTTCATCTGCTTTGTTGTGTGGGCCTGGCCGTAAAGCTTGGTATGACAGGGGCTTCACAAAACTGAGATTAAAGGGGGGGAAAAAAAAAGTAGAAAGTACACATAGAAATACAAGATCCATTAGGACAGACAGCTGAAGATGAGAAGGAAACTGAAGGCACTTGGAATGGGAAGGTGCGGAGAGGTTTTCACAGTGGGGCAGAGATTACGGCAATGGTATCTTCTTCTGAATTCTTCTCTGAGGAGAGCCCTGCTGCTGCTAGGAGCAAGCTGTCTGGTTTTACAAAAGTCAGAAGAGATGGTACTTGGAAAGAAAGTAAGAGAGTAAGTAGACTTGTTTCTCTCTGTAGGCCTACCTTTGCATTTTGTCTTGCTATTTAGTGCAAAAGTGGGGAAGAAAGCAAATGGATAAAAATAGGAATAACAAGACATAACTCCATATCTTTCAGTTTCCTAAATGTTTCCCTAGTCTTTTCTTTGCCGAGTCCTCTGACCTAATAAAGCCTACTCAACCAAAGAGGTCACTGATTCGTGACTTAGAGTTTCTAGCCATTATGTTAGCATAGTATTGCCCTTGTCAGCTTCTGGTCATTAAAATTAAATTTCTAAGAAACTTCATGCTTATCACAATATATGTACAACTCTAGGATATCTGCCAAAAATACAACTTTTAAAAAAATATGTCAGGAAGTGTGTCATTGATAGATGCAGTATTTCTGGGAGATGAGGGAATGGAATCCTGTGGGGGGTTATTTTCCTATTTCTTGGGGGTCTCCAATAATTAATTGGTAAGAATTTATTAAGTGCTCATTACCAGTACAAGTCAGATGACATTAACAGTAGGTATTAGGTAGATGCTGTGCTAAATAACTGGTTGGCACAAAATCGTGTTTTAAAGGGCCTACAAGTCAGAGCATCTCCTTCTTGAAATATATTGTAGATAAATCAAGCTGCATGAACTATGTTTGTGACTACTAAGATATTTGTAATAGCTGTATTTTTATTTTTTTTATTTTTTTTTACTGGTAAAACCATATTATATATGGATAAAGTATTGTCATCAGATCTTCACTGGTTCATGTTCTCAGGGCTTAGGGTAGTAAAGACAGTAATGGAAATGCATGGTTTGTTTTCATCTTGATTTTAAAATATATTGTGATGAAATGAAACCTCATATAAGGTTCTTTTGTAGCAGCTACACTCAGATAACTTTATTTTGTCTTACAGTTATAGACCAGTAGCTGCACTGTCAGAGCAAGTGTCCCAGCATGTGGCTAAGTGGGCAAGTTTTCAGCTTTTCTTCTTGGCCCCTAAGGAGCCTGAAAATAGCTGTGTGACTCTCCAAGATCTTTTTGTTAGTCCTTTCTGTTGGGTTTCAACCCAGAAGGGCATGAGCCAGTCCCAAGTGTGAATATAATAGTGTCAAATACAAGGGATTTCCTATGGGTAATAGTAACAACGGCATATAATGAAACACGTTCACCAAATACAACACAAATGCCTTTTATTATTTTTTTAAATCTGAGCCTGTAAACACAGAAGCCTGTAAGTCACTATACTTTGGGGAGTAAAGCTGAACCCATAAGTAAGATGAAGTGTGAGACGTTGGTAAATACATGTATGTTGTAGCTGGAAAGCAGTCTTTCTTACACTAATGCTATGGTGTCGGAAAAAAAATGAAACTGAATTCTACCTGTGTTTTAAGTATGCCCCATTTTCAGATAAGTGAATTTCCTCAGGTGAAAAATGATTTATTACATGTGCCAAAGGGAAATATATATATATATATATCTGTTACCTATAATTATTTATGCAACAATGGAGTTCTCTTATCTTGTGATTGTGTTTACAATATTGGACTTGAACACAAAATATATAAAATTTAATTCTATGGCACATACTTCTTGTGTGACTGGATGCTAACTTTTCCATCTCTTACTTTTTCAATTTTAAAGTAAGCATAATACCTCTTTCCTTTCACTGTTTTCTGTTTAGTATGTTAACTGCCCAACGGCCTTATTCGTACATGAGGCTTGTAGACACTAAAAATAACCTCCACCACAAGTTAATCCAGGTCCTGGGTATAATTCAGAAATTTAAATCCAAATTCAAAGGAAAAAAAAATGCCTTAGTTTCCCAAAAAAAGTTGCAATAGCTAATGTTGCCATTGGTAGAGCTCCAGAGTCTCTTAGCTGCTTTAGCTTCCTTTTTCTGGGAGCTTTAAATGTTCTTCTTAGGATCCCCAGTCCTTTCTTTCTTTGGATAAAAGAATGAAAATTCCTAACCTTTGCAGTTGCAAATTTCAACAAAAAGTCACAAAAAGTTTATTATGATATTAAATACTGCCACTCATGTCTTTTATGAGCCTTGTTTTGCAATAGTATCATTGCTAATACAATTCTTTCCAAATTCTGGTTTCAGATTCTGAGAACTTTTGTTTCAGAAAGGCTAAAATATCAGACTCTTTATGTGAAACTTTTTGTTTCCCAAAGTCCTTCAAGTTCTGAGTGTGTTCATGGAAAACACATCTATTTATTTTGCTACAAAACCAAAGAAGAATTAAAAACAAATTAGGCCAAAACCATCCATAGTTTTAGCCATTTGTGCTTCAAAATAGACTTTTATTTATTTAATTCTAGACTTCAAAATTTTGTAAAACACATAGCTGGTTAGAATAGAAAGTCATGGGAAATACTCAACATTCTCAGCCTCTTAGAGGATTTCTGTTGTGGCAATAGCTCTTGCAGAGGTCAAATCTGATCAGTTTTGGATGTGAAGGAAATCATCTCTTTGACTCTACTGAAAAATAAGTGCAACCTTCAGAAGGGAAGGAGAGATGAAAGAGAGGGTTTCATCTGCATAGTATAGTTTACAATGAGTTTAAAAGATTGCAGGAGACATTTTGTTCTTTCCTGATTTTCTTTGCATTGGTATTTAAATATGATTTTTTTTTCCTTGAAAAACCTTGATACTATATACTTCCTGTGGTGGTCTTTCTAGATGCTCAAGAGTCAGTTAAGGTGAGACAAGGAAAACTTGTTGGAGGTAAAAAACTTCCCCAAGTACCAAGTTCTGGGAGAGGAGCTATCAAAATAAATTTAGTAAGTTCCATTAAAGTAAGTAAACAATGGTCTCTTTCTACAAAAATACAAATGTAAATTGCATACCAGTAAACGCCCACAAAAGGAGACAGTAGAAGACAGAAACAAAACTGCACAGAATACCCTATCAGAAAATAATCCCTTAAATTTGGCCTGACACTAGAGAGATAGCAAAAGTACAAATATCTGTTACTGTGAATGTGAGAAATGCACAGCTCACACTGTGAATTACTGCTGCTGAAACCCTCATAGCACACAGCGCCTGGGTGGCAGAGATTCTGAAGAATATGAAATTAAGTGGCCTGATAACTGCATGTGTTTGGAATGAGTACTTATCCATCACTGTGGCACTAGTTTGTGAGCTTGGCTACCTTAAATTACCCCATACCGACTGGTAAGCCTCACTGGAAAGCACTAAGCATTACTGCATTGAATAATGTTGATTAGCCTGTATCTTGCACTGAATTTGAATTTCCATTATCTCAATTTTCCTTTATAATATTTAGTATTAAGTGATTTATCTTATAATTAAAATATCTGTAAAAAATTACTTAACTGTCTGAGATGATATCTTAGATTAACAAACTACAAAAGACCTAATCTGTGAATTCATTTTTCCTTGTTATTTGCATTTTCATTTCCTTTGGATTAGACTGAAATGAGGCTTTCCTCTTTCATGTCTATAATCAGTTTCATTTTACATTTCATATGAACTAACAGTACTGCTGAGATTGATCTCACAATGTAGCTGGGAAAGAAGATGAATATTGTATGAACTTATGAAAGATAAAACGAAAGCTTATTATTCTAGGAATGTTTTGTTCATGTTCCCCATAAAACTGTGACAGCATGTCCATTCAGAACCTTATTTTCACCTCTCTCTCATCTCTTACAGAAATCATCTTTCCATGTCAAAATTCATGTGCTTAATTTGATTGCAAAGGCTTTTTGTCATGAAAGTTAATAAATACTTCTGAAGTTAGGAGTATCATATTTTCACACAGAGATCAATATGGAAATTTATAAAAGGTTACATATTTTGTAGATACATTTTCATAAAAGTAAAGCATGATGCAGTAAGCATTTTAGAGAAAATAACTCTAACATAATACGTGCACAATTTCATCCAGTGCTTGTAACTGCTTAGCAGATGAGTATGAACAAAACTTTGCAGAAAAGACTTACACTTTGGTCAATTTAGCAATGTGAGTAGTACTGAAGCACTGAACTGGCCAAATTCTCAACTTTCTTTACCTTAGCAAGCCTAAAGCTTTGTAGAACTTAGTTGGGTGAGGGTTATGTCTCATTCCCATCATGCTACCAAACTTTTAAGTTCATTAGATTTGCTGAATTGTGCTGCCCCATGCCATCTGGAAGGACAGGGTGTCCCCTGCCAAGTGGGCAGTTAGAGGGTGCTGAGGACCAGGATCCCACTAGTCCATACCCCCTACTGTGGATGCTTTTCACAGCTGCAAAAAACATTCAGATTGCTTCCAGAAGCTGGTTGTATTGAAAAGCTATCTAGTCATGGATATATATTGAGGTAGAAGTCTTGTCACACTGAGGTGAGTGACAAATTCAGAGGTTCATTGTGGAGTGCTATATAAGTACCCCAAAAATTGAATACCAGGGTTAATGTAAAGACTGATAACCCTACACCTGCCCTACACCCAGTGTGATCTCCAGCTGATGTGGCAAAAAAAAAGCATTCAAAACACCATACCTTTGCAAAGCATCCTCATAAGGAATAATCACTGAGATTTTTTTCAGTTTTGCCTACATTGTTTTAGAATTGGTGCATGTGTGATTACAAGCATGTGATAGGCTCTGCTATGGAATTGGGATATGTTAAAAGTGCATTCAAGGAGGCTGAAATACGTTATTGTGCAGTTTTGGCATTGTTCTCAGAATATGGCTTCATGCTCAGTCATGCTACTATTGTACATTTAACTCTATAAAAACATTTCTTCACAGGTATTTTCAACAATAATAACTCACAGAATGGGACTGCATTATGTTGCCAGGCCACTGATGCTGAATGGCCATTCTCAGATGACTTTTTAGAAGAAAAAAAAAAAAAAGAGGGCTGTCTTCAGCTGATACAATGACCTAAATCTAATCTAATCTAATTTGAAGATAGAAGATTCAATCAAGATTTTTGTCTTGTAAATTGTAAGTCAAGTCCATGGTATCTCAGAGTATCTGGGGCAATAACACAGAACCTTGGTTTATCCTGGGGAAAACTCAGATGAGCAGTTGCACTCGCTTTGAAGAAGTCTTCCTCACCCTTCTGAAACAAGACAGGCACCATTTAGCTCCTACTGCTCAGTTGAGAGATCTATGTTACCATATAGAGAATTAAAACAGACAAAAAAGTTTCAAAAGTCAAATGAGTCTGATGTTGTCTTTGGAAATGTATTTGCATGTGCTGGAAGGAAAAGATACTGTATTTTATCATTGCCTTGTTATGTGATAGCTGGAAATGAAAGAAATACTGTGTTCACTAGACTGGCAGAGGCGTTGAATTTTTTATCACTATTCAAAGTGAAAATGGTTCTTACTAACTGATTGTGTAGCTATAAACATACATAAAAAAAAAAAAAAAGAAACAGATTGCATATGCAATTAACTTATGCTGGAAATTTCCTGTAGATTATTTAATTAATCTAAGATACTTCATTTGAGGGCAAGCATTTTGTTTTTGTTCAACTTACATGTTTGAATTCGCATAACCTTCATGCCATGATCATATTTTGTTCTCATAGATATTCTTTATTTGCAGGTCTTCTTTCTTGTCATAGCCAGGGTCTCCATTGCTGTCTCTGAAGACCTATTCTTTTGTCCTTATCAGTTAGTGTTTTATAAATCAGTGCCTCTGATTCACAGCTCTCCTGCTGAGACTTGATGCTTACTCCATTGTTTTTCATCCCAAAGTTATTAAAGAGGTAATGAAATAAATACGAACATACCACCAGATAAATAAAGATGTATTAAGATTTTGAAATCTCTCTTTTCTTTTCTCTTTTCTTTTCTTTTCTTTTCTTTTCTTTTCTTTTCTTTTCTTTTCTTTTCTTTTCTTTTCTTTTCTTTTCTTTTCTTTTCTTTTCTTTTCTTTTCTTTTCTTTTCTTTTCTTTTCTTTTCTTTTCTTTTCTTTTCTTTTCTTTTCTTTTCTTATAGGGTGGAGAAGAAAAAAAAAAAAGTATTGTCATCAGAAAAAAAAAAACCTTCTAAAAGAATCAAAGGGCTTCCTAAAACACCACCTTATTATATATTGATTTGGGATGTGCCTTGTTTTCCCTTCAGCCTTTGACTTGAATGATCTTCCAGGCTGATAATTGCTTGCATTTCTCATAGGACTTCTTTTATCCATGATGTACTTGGTTCATTCTCCGAGCATTAGTCCAAAGAGATATCAGGTAATATGGGTAAAAGCTGGCAGGATCACATCACTCCAAGATGACTTTCTGAGCACATATAAGAATTTGACGGTGGTTGAACATTGGAAGTGGTTGTTTACAGAGGTTTCAGAGTTTTCATCTTTGAAGATACTCAAAACCTAGCTTGTTTTTACAAAATCAGTCCCTGAGCATCCTTCTATGAGCAGGGTTGGGTGGACTAGGTAATCTCCAGAGGTCCTGTGCAGCCTCACCAGCTCAGTGATCCTGTGTGAGCAGAGGCAACAGAACATAAGTCTCTGTGGTTCTGCCACCTAACTCTGCTCATTGAATCACATCATCTTTGCCATAAAGCTGTATAAAGCCAATATTATTATGGATGGAGATCAGTTCTGCAATCATTAGATTGAGTAGCACTTCTTTGTGCCAATTGTCCCATTGACTTCCATGTTAAATTGACTTGCGAGCACCTCCTGACCTGAAGGTCAGGCTGTTAATATACAATTCAATTTAAAAATAAATCACCAATATTAAGACACTTCTTCCAAACTTTGATTAATATTCTTCATAATTTACAGACCTAGGAGCCTTGAATGAATTAATAATTTATTAACTGGTTTAATATATTGGCAGTCCTAGAGTAGTAAATGGGTGCAACTGGTATTAGTTCAGCTTGTCTCAGATTGGAACTGATCTCTCCCAGCGATGAGAGAAAATTGCAAATTATCCATTTGACGAGATTTTTTTCTCTTTTGCGATACACTTCAGAAAGGAGTGAAGGAAATAGGCTAAATTGTTTCATCATCCTACACAGGTAAACTAATAATGAATTGTTTTTATACTTCTTTGCAGGAGGTAGGTATCAGGTAAAACTAAATTTTCAGTGGGCCCCACATTTAATGTCTGACTTAAATGTATGCATTTTTACATGTCAATGAAAAAATCTGCCCTCTCATCTTGCTCTCAAAAAATGCACTGGCAGCTGTTTTCCTGTGCTACTGGTATGAGAAGTTTGACATACTCATTTAGTGATATTGTTTTCTCAAGTACTTCAGTGTTTGCCTGATAACACTCCTTCAGTTTTGATATTCGGTAACCCCTGGGTGCTCTTCATATGCAGGTTTCCACCTACACGTTTTGTGTATGCATTGATTTTTCTAAAGCAGGTCTGAACACTGTGGTAGCTTGGCTCCTACTTGAGTTTATCCATCTCAGTATTGGCATTGTCTTCAAAGGAAAAGTAACTTTTTTTTTTTCTTTTTAATCCTTCTTGTGTATGAAAAAATACTGAAAGACATTGCTTTTAGATTGTCCTGTGGCAAATTCTCATTCATTTTAAAGCTAGTATCTTCTGAAATTAGCCACTTAATTCACAAAAAAAAAAAAAAAAAAAAAAAAAAAAAAAGTAAAATACACAGCAAACTAAGAATTGGAATAGATTTTTCATCATGTTTTTATTACAGAAAGATTTTCTGAAGAACACATTTTCAGTCACTGCAAAAGAATAAGAAGTCACCTTGTCTCTTTGACAACAGTAACCAAACTGATAAGAAATGGGTCAAAATTGCACCTTTTCAAAGTTGGTTTGGTTTTTATACATTTCAGGAGAATGAATTCAGTAAGTGTTGTTATTTGAAATAGCAAGTCTATTCTGCCCCCAAAGAAGTGCTAAAATCATTTCCATTGCCTCTTCTTGGTGCAAATGTGATAGTGTTTAACTCTATTTAACTGATTTGTTGCCTGTTAAAATTAATTATCATAACGAATTCAATGTTTATATTAAGGGACTTGCAGTAATACTGGGATGAAAAGCAATTAAAAATTAAGAATTTATATTCTTAGTTATTTATTTTGAACTTCATTTTATTGTTGTATGAGTAGATGTACATCCGTCAGTTTACCTTTGCTTTGACATTTTTGTCTTGTCTTTGCGTAGTTACAAGACTAGTTTGAAAAGTGGGTGATTTTCTAGGATATTGCTGAAGTTCTAGAAGGCAACTTACAAATATTTGACTTTCATCAGACAAAGAATATATTGTATTTTTATTATGAATCAGGCGCTTAAAAAAAATAAATCTAGAAATTGCGATCCAAGCAGTGCTGTCTCTATATGCTTACTCCTTTTTGGAAAACCATGATGGCTGAGAGAGTTTGTTACTACTAACACTTAGTTTTTTGCTGTGATCAGAGGACGCTAGTAGGCAGGTGTTACACTGTGACTACTACTTACCAGGAAAAAAACTTGCTCCTTATCCTAGCCCTGATTCTTCCATCTGCTTACTTCACTCACTGTTGTGTCTGGCTGTGATCCAGATTTGAAACCTCTTTGGAGGACTTGGATTTTTTATTTTTTTAATATTCCATGCTTCTAGACATCACAACACAGACAGCACAACAATTATCTGTGCTTGTAAGACTGAAGGGCAAATATTGTACTCTGCAGTCTTGTCTTGACCGTTATATCTTAGAGAACTATAGGAACACATCGCAGCACCATCCCTGAGTGAGCAGCTCAGTTTTATTGTAATAGAAATAAACCTCCTTAAGTGTTCTTATTTGGGTCAACAAATAAAAAGTCTGGGATTAGTTTATCTAATACACTGGACTAAATTAATAAAGGAATTTAGACAGTTATCATCACAGTTTCGTTGCATTGGTAGATTAATCTGATCAACTCATTTTAGTTAAAATATAAACTATGAACCTGTAACTTAAATTTCTTTTCTAATTTAATTGATAAGGTAATCTTCAGTTAAAATCAACATATAGTTAATATTAAGAAAATAATAGCCTGCATTCTTTCAAGTCTGTTTCCTTGTTGAACATTTGGTTTGGGGATTTTATTTTATTTTTTCCCAGAAATATTAATAATTGCTGTAGCCTGTTGTAAAACTGTAGTTTGCGACACTTTAAAAACAATACAAATGGATTTAGATTCTGAATGCACACATATTTTAATATGCATTGAAGCTTCAGCAAATAAGTAGTTTCTATCTTTCAGGAGGATAACTCATGAAATTAGTTCCTACAGGTGTTTCTAAGATCAGTACCCTAAATACTTACTTTGACATAGAAGATGGAATTGTTATGGCCTTTAAGTAGCAAGATGAGAGAGAATTTGAGATTTTATTTGAGGTGTGCAACATGAATTAAAAGATGTTTTATCTACAGAGTCCACAAACACTTCTCAGGTTCTCCTTTTTTTTCACATAGGCTCTAAAATAATTCTGTATTTACATTCTCTAGTGTTATTGTTATGTTCACTTAATGTCACATTTTTTACAAATATGAATGAAGTTTCAACTGCTTCAATGACTTGTAAGTCTATTATTCCATTTTATTTGAACAGCAATTCGTCTGATGCTCAAACATTAAATTTAAACATTTCCGAATCTGTGAGCAACACTCTTGGGAAGGAATTAATTAGACAGAATGCCGTGTACTGCCCTTTGCAGAATACCATTCACTATTATGTTATTCATTTATTATCTTTAAAATGCAATATTGTATTCAAACAAGATGTAATTATATAGAAGGATGGAAAAAAAGTAATTTGTGGAATAGTTGACACACTGCTCTCTACAGTATGCAGTATTTAGTCAGAAACCTGAGAGAAATGTTACACAAAATATAATTTTCCTTATTTTTTTTTCCTTTGCTATTTTTTTTTCTCCCTATAAATAGTGTATTTCATCAGATACATCAGCCATAGGATTCCTGCCACTTTACAATCCCCTCTTAGAAGAAATAAATGTAAATCTACCCAGGCCCTGATCTGGGCAGATAATTATTTTTAAAATGTCTTTGAATGACAGTCTTGTTGACTTTTTTCCAAGTTAGAAATATTAATATACCTGTCATACTAAAAAGCTTCTGATAGTGAATTAGAAATCATTCTATTTCTTAAGGGGAGCACTTGAAGTACCTACATACACAGAAGTGAGAAAACAGCAATGTACCTAATATTTTAAAATAGTGATTAACTTTGTGTCTAAATACCAGTTAGTGTAATACCTAATGATTTCCTAGATCTGTTAAGAAATGTGTACGTGCAAGCATGATCAAATACATATTGTGACATAAGGTGCGATGATTTTAATGGAACACAGAAAGAGATGCAGATTTATACTTGAGAATACCATTAGAGAATGGATCTGCTTTCCTTTCTATGTGTCTCCTGCCTTCTCCAAAGTGTTGGATCAGTTGGATCATAGAAGATTCAGGGGCATTTCTATAAGGGTCTGAGCACTCATTCTTCCTGCTCAAATTGATAGGTGTTACTGGATAAATGGATAGGTGTATTTTGGTGTCTGAAGCTTTCTTGGTTACCCAGTTAAAACAAGTGTGTCTGCTCAGCAAAGTCAACTCTGTTCAGACTCCTCTCAAGCAACCTGGCAAGGCTCTGTTATTTCTAACAGAGCTGGCAACAAACAAAAGATTTTGGAGTTAACCTGGCTCTGGGCTTTTAAGTCCTTTCTCAAGATCTGGTGTTAGGACAGAGTGGCAAGATGTCCCTCTACTCAGAAGATTTCATCAGGAGGGTCCCACCACCAGCCTCAATCATATGGCTTAGCCAAAACTGTCTCAGGAGCATCAGGAGAGAGGCAGAAACCCTCTGGTTTCCAGGAGGTTTCTCACCTGTAGTAGGAAAAGGTGTCTGCCTGGGTAACAATAGCAGCACTGTGAGCTATCCCTCAATCAGGCAGGGCTCAATCAGGGAGTCTCCAGAAGACTCACAGGTGTATTATGTCTACGGAACCTTTCTTAATACTCACAGACTTATAAAAAATAATTTGGTTATTGCAGGACAAGTATTTCCTTTCACCTCTGTTTTTCAAATATTTGACTCTTACTCTCCAGGATACTTACAACCACAACGAGCATCAGTTCAGTTGGTTTCGGGATCAGACCTGCTGTATTGAAATGCAGCAGGTATTCTGTGTTCTTTGTTCTTAAACACCTGGTACCTTAAAGATGATTTCTGTGTTGTTTTGCTCAAAAGACTAGGAGGCTACTTTTGTTGTATGTACTATGTTTTAGTATATACTATGATATAAATATATATATTTTTTTATATATGTATTTTTTAAATAGGCAGGCCACAAAGGTATAATAAATTTGAAAATATTTATATTGGGTACCTTGGATGATGATGATGATGATGATGATGATGATGATGATGATGATGATGATTATTATTATTATTATTATTATTATTATTTGGTGTATGAATGACATTGTTTTAGCTTAGAAGCTGAGGGCTATATTAAGGTAGGAATGACAATTTAGTGCTAGATCTGGCTACTCAGCATGACATAGCATCCCAGGCTTCCTGGGTCGCTGTATCTACCTGGAGGAAACTGGTGGGAAAATGGAGCTCCAAAATCATACACTGTACCTGCTTTGCAAATGCAGGACTGGCAACCTACCTACCAGTAGTAGCAGTCTAGATAGGTTTCCTTAACAGTTGTTAATGCTTTGAAAAGTACACTTACTAGATGCTATTCCTTTCTTATTGTGTTATTTCCCTGCATATTTATGTATATGTGGTTGAAGTAGGAATATATATGCCTCCTTGTTTGTGTGCAAACTCTGAATCTTAAAATTAATGGTATGTTTAACAGGTTATGTTCAGAGAAATTGACATTAGTAGCTGCAAAAGGCAAATATGTATTTCTTTACAAATATAAATTCTGCTTTTTGTTAATACCTATAAAACTCTGCTGTACTGTGGGCAAGACTCCAAGTGCTACATTTCTGTAGAGCAGCTAACTAAATCAGCTACATATCATTTAAAGTATTTTGGGCGCCAGGTTTTCATGGAAATATGAAAACTTCATTGAAAAACAAAACAAAATAAAACAAACAAACAAAAAGATTAAACTCAAGATACTTTGTAAAATATTATAGCAAATCCAGATCCTGCAGATAGCATATGAAATGTCTGTTGAGAAAATTTTCAAACAGGATTAATCAGGTGGGGTAAAAGGTCCACACTTAAGTTTATAATTAATCAGCTTGTTTTCTAAAATATCCAGCAGAAGATAATTGAATGATACTAGTCCTGGAGAAGCATCTTTAAAATATATGTTACATTTATTACAGCATTACAGTGTTGCAAAAAACAAGCTACATGCTTGGAGATGTAGAAATTAGATGAATTATATGTTGATAATTAGATGTCTGTGTGATGTATAGAAAGAATTAGGTGCCCATGAAGGAATTCTACAAATGTATTCAAAATGATTATTAAAATTGTTATGACATTCTTATGCCTCATGTCCTGTTAAATTTGTTAGAAAGGACATTTATCTCATTTTATATCTATTTTTTCCCAACACCTCATAGTTTGTCTTTTTTTCAGTAAGTGAGAAACTGGGATCAATTTGTTTTTCAGACTGATGA